TGGAGTAGAGGGAGATACAAAAGGCTTTATATATTTATATGACAGAGAGATCCTCCAGAGGTTACAACGCTCTCTGTTAATGAATCTTCTGTTTTCTGTCAGGTGTAGGCAGGAATGACTGCTTTCTGAGCCGTTGGTTCCCATAAAGTACTACATTATAGGGGCTGAGTGTGACAGCACTGGTAAACATATCTCATTTTACTGAATTCTTTGTTCTGAACTTGATGTTCATGTGATCCCTACAGAATTTCTTACATTTCTACTGTGCCTGAATACAACCCTTTTATTGAAAACCACCAGATCTTTGATAAGACCCATGTTCCTATTCCTGCTCTCTCTCACGTCATAATTGCCCTTACAAGTAAATCTGCATGAAGTTGTGCAGGTGGCTTTTTACTCTTCTTTCAGTGTGCCAGGGCCTGATGCAGCTTTTGGGCTGCTTTGAATCCCTGCTTTCAGTGTGTGTGGCTCTGGATATTGGTGTACTTATTGGCTTTGGTAGCTGCTTTGCTGTTTTGAAGGAAGCTTAATTCTCCCTTGCTTTGCACTGGCTGACCAGGCTGTTGTAGTGAAACAAGTTGCACTGCAGTACATTTAAATATCTCTGCAGTACATTTAAATGTCTGCTGCCGGATTTTAAACTTTTTCCACAGTTCATGGTGTCTGTCTCCAAGTGTTTTTTGGACGGTCACCTATGATCTGAGAAGACATTTTTCTTAGCTGGCACTTCAGGCAGGATGTACTGTTAATTTATCTTAAAATTTTCATGCTGAAAATGTGTTCATAACCGTCCTTTCTCAAACCTTTTTCTACAATACTGTGTAATTCTCATGTGCTTTTCTGATAGTTCTTCTTTCAAGCTTTTTCATAATCACTAGATAGCATTTTCCACTAATAACAAAGCAGGTCAGTCATATGTCTTTGTACCTGCAGAAAGCTGCTATGCCACTTTCTAGATATCTACATAAAGTTTTTACATGGACTGACTTGATTTTATTTATTTATTTATTTATTTATTTTTAATTTGGCTTGCAGATAGGGTACTCTTTGGAAGTTTTTGTTCTCTTAATTGAACAGTGAACATGAGAATTTTGTTCCATAACTTTAAAGGTATAGAAGCTACTTTTGAGGAAAAATGTTTTAGCACTGGCTTCAACTGTTTCATTTTTTAAAACACTTGAAGTTTATAGTCTCCTTCTTTGTAATCTTGGGTAAGGGTTCCTATATTTGCAGAAAAGACCAAAGTTTTTTGAAAACTGCAGGAGAGCTTGCAAAGGGAAGGTGGTTTGCACAGTTCATATCACAGTTGGACAGTGTTCCTTGTGGTTGCCACCATCTTGTAAGGTTAAGGGATGATTTATTTGTGACTAAAATTAGAGTCAGAGTAGAAGAGGAAAATAGCAACAGTGCTGCATGTTGGCCTCATGAAAGATAAGAGACCACACTTCTGAGATTCCTGGGAAAATTCTAGTGTGGGTCAGAATATTGAAAAATACTTAACTTTTCTGGTTGTGTTACTATATGAAAGAAATCTTCCATATGCTTTTGCTTGGATTCCAGGAGGGAAAATAGAATTCTTTCTCCTTCCTGATTAATTGGTGTTAGGAATATGAAAAGAGTTTTTGTGTCACTTCCTTCACTTTGCTGATTCCAGGATGAAAGATGTTTTTCCTGGTGTAATTGTCTTAATATTTGTTTCCACAAGGAAGTGATATGGCTGGGGATAAATGCTACTAGGAAAAAAATGGGGGGGGGAAGAGTTAAGATTTATTTTGTAACTTTTTTTTTTTTTACACTTGAACCATGTCAAATCTCTGTGTCAGTGAAAATACTGAAACCGACTGCGAGTGTGGAAGGGTGTATTTAGTTAACACTTGGAATATTCACAACTTTGTAGTCTAACAATGGTGTAATCAAAGTTGTTATTCAAGAAAAAATACTGCAGGGTTACATTTGCCTCTTTTCCAAAGACCACTTCACTTCTTAATCTATTGCTTTTGGTTTGAAAAGTGAGTGCAGTGTAACGCATGGCAGAGAGAGTAGAGTTGAGTTCTCCCTGAGTTTCATCAGTGCCAGCTCTGGGAATCTTTCCCATAACCCTGATCAACAGCTATTTCTAGCAACTGGCTTTCAGAGCTTGAATTATTTGATGTTTCTGGAGAAGCAGAGAGGATGGTGCCTACCTGGGGAACAAAGCTTCGAGCTGAACTAGCGATGGGACTGGTGTTTCCACTTCAGGTGGATGAGACCTCACCTGCCTGCCCAGTAGAATTGGAGATGCTTCCTGCACAGCACCAGCTCCTTGCAGCTGCCTGGGAAGCTGCTTTGCTGTCAAGGGTATCAACCAATTTCTTTGAAAAGTATTAATAGTTCAACAAAACATTTGCTAAAGCAAGGAGAAAGCCAGTTCCTTGAGTTTTCCCATTTCGAGGGTGATGAACTCACAAGAAATGATCTAAAGACTTCTGTGCTCCTCTTGTGTGTTGTTGTTAAGGGCTTTACCAGGTGATGCTTCTGTGTGCAACAGGGATGTACTTTGAGCAGCTTTTAAACTTAGTGTTTTGGGGGGAAACTGAGACTCACGTAATAAAACATGTCTGATCTCTTGATTCAAGTTAACCTCATTTAAAGCTGTTAAGTGAATGAGTGCACTGACTTACTGTGGTTAGCTTTTAGCAGATGAATTAAGTGTTGTGATTTGGATTAATTTTCAATTATTTGCATTCAATCCTCATGAATGCAAGCTCTCAGTTGAATGTACTTTATGTAGTGTCTAAGAAATCATATCTGACTTGTTTTGAGAGCTCAAGTGGTGTCACAGCAGCATTTTTAGCATTTTGATATCTCAAACAGTGAGACTAGTCTGAAATAGCCTTTCTGTTTGGAAGAAGTGTTTTCCTTCCAGATCTGGGCCACAGTGTCTTGCTTATTGAAGCAACTTCAGCGGAACAGTGTAGACTTTGTTATGTAGTTTATATATCTCTGTCCCATTTTGCATAAGGATATAGAGTTGAAATAAAAGAAATGTAACTTGTATTAAAAAAATAAATCTGTAGGTGTTGCTTTGGTGGATAATTTCCATTATTATTGCTGCTGGTTGTCTTTCCTTGGCCTGTTTTCCTTTACATTTGTGTTTTAAAATACTCTGTAGCAATCTTGTAGCTAGCTTTTCTTGTTGTTTAAAAAAAAGAGAGAGAGCCCCTGAATGTCTTGAACTACTCACAACACAATATCAGCTTCCATAAGCTTTGTAAAATTACTCATGTCATTGTATCTTCTATATCAGTTGTGTGAAAATGAAAAAATGCTGGCTTATTCTGGTCTTGGTTTCCATTTAAAATTTAAACTATACATTTTAAAACTATTTTTACTCTATCTTTTCCTCTACTAACTTTTTTTTTCTGAAAGGAAAAATGCTGTATCTTTTCTTCATCGCACTTTTCCTTTTTTCTTTTCCAATATTTTCTGCAATATTATTCTTTTGTCTCTTCCCTTCCACCCACTTGCACTATTTCTACAATTCCTTTTGTAAGTGTATTCCTCTTTTAAATCTAGTCTTTAATCTGCTTGCCCAATTATTATCTCACTACCATGCTATAAGATTTGGAAAAATTGATGCTGAATATCTGTCAAACCGAAGTTCTGAACAGAAGGGGCAGCAAGATAAAAGCTGGTGTGAAAGGAAAGATGTTGGGATATATAAAGTGCTGCTGCTCTTTAAGACACTGCCCAATATTTTTTCATCTGTTGGGATCAGGAACATTTCAGTGTTCTTATTTCAGCTGAGCCAAACAGTTACATGAAATAGTTTACACTGGAAAAAAGTAGAAGGGGGCAGGGGAAGAGAACTGTAAAGTGGGAGTGGTTCTTTAGTGCAGTAGTTTAGTCACAGGAATGGATTTCTTCCCTGTTTCTTGCTTTTCCACTAGATCTTGACTACGAACCACAGTCCCAGCCCAGTGCCCCTGTACTAAAGAGTTCCCTCCCAGCACGTGTCCAGCAGCATCGTATTGCACTGCAAACATAAGGAGTTTTACTGCATGTGCTGCCAGAGTTCTTGTTTAATGAAAAAGTAGAGGGGAGAAGGGACCAGCAGCATGATGATGTCATACTGTTCTGTGTTTCAGGTCCCTGCTGTTGGAATGTTATTTAATGGAATTAATCTGAGCTGGTTAATGAAAAGCATGTTTCAGTTGAAATCTTTTCTTAACCTGAACAAAGATTTAAGTTATTTTAGTTTGAGGAAAAAACAAACAGACTAGAACCAGTTTTCAGTGGAGGTGTGATTCTCTTCTTCTTCTTCCCCTCCTTGGTTCCACTGCTGTGTGATTGCTGTTCTTTCAGAGTTGCATCTATACTTGCTTAAGCTCTGTGGTCAGTAGTGATTTCATGATTATTCTTACTTTTGGGTCTGACTTCTGCATTTGAAGAAGGGCTGACAGCAACACTGAACGGGACCTGCTAGTCAAGATCATGATCAGAATCATTTTAGCCCATCCTATCTTCCCATTTGCAGGATTATTTTCACAGCACAGGGGTTTAGAAACCATGTCCTATGGAAGCTAGCAGTGCTTGAGGGAAAAATATACTACTGAGTGGCCTTTAAATTTTGATTTTCTCTGACTCAGAAAGGTAATAGATAAAGAATTAGGGCCTATGAGAAAGAGAGGATAAGATCAGATGGCTTCTAATGGTAGAGTTAGATCATGACCAACAAAATTTTGGCTTGGAAATTAATGGATTCTCTTTCCCTTACCTCTTTGCTGTGATAATACAACAACAGAAAAATAAGAATAGAAGTTCCTTTTTGAGTTTAAATATTAGGGTTTAAATAAAAAATTGCTCTTCTGTGAGTGGAAATTGAAAAGATGCTGTAGAAGTAGAAAGGAAGTAGAATACACTTTATTCCAGTGTGGGACAAAACATTTGGTGATAAGCTAGGTATTTAATACGTTACTCATATTGATACAGATTTTAATATGTTATTCTTATTGACACAGATATGGTCCTGAACATCGCGAGCACGTGACTTTGAAGATGGACAACTGGATCTGTCATAAGTTGTGATTGGCCTTAAGTTGACTTATACCCGTTGAAGAACTCTCCCGTTCCTGATTTTTACCTGTCTGATTGCCTCACACCACCAGCTTAATCATGTATGGAAGTGCTCGGTCCGTGGGGAAGGTTGAGCCCAGCAACCAGAGCCCAGGGCGTTCACCGAGGCTGCCACGGTCGCCACGCCTGGGCCACCGTCGAACCAACAGCACGGGAGGCAGCTCTGGGAGTAGTACTGGGGGTGGCAGTGGGAAAACCCTTTCTATGGAAAACATCCAGTCCTTAAATGCTGCCTATGCCACGTCCGGCCCTATGTACCTAAGTGACCACGAGAACGTGGGTGCAGACACCCCGAAGAGCACCATGACGTTGGGCCGGTCGGGGGGGCGGCTGCCTTACGGTGTTAGGATGACTGCGATGGGCAGCAGCCCTAACATTGCCAGTAGTGGAGTTGCCAGCGATACCATTGCGTTCGGGGAGCACCATCTCCCTCCGGTGAGCATGGCATCCACTGTGCCTCACTCGCTGCGCCAGGCCAGGGATAACACCATCATGGATCTGCAGACACAACTCAAAGAAGTGCTGAGGGAAAACGATCTGCTCCGCAAGGATGTGGAGGTGAAAGAAAGCAAGCTGAGTTCTTCCATGAATAGCATCAAGACCTTCTGGAGCCCTGAGCTAAAAAAGGAGAGAGCTCTGAGGAAAGATGAAGCGTCAAAAATCACCATTTGGAAGGAACAATATAGAGTTTTGCAAGAAGAAAACCAGGTTTGTCATCTAATGTCACGGTTATGTTAGTGTGGTAGCGGGATTAAATGAGTTTAATAAACTTGCATGTCACATTTAAGCAGCTAAATGAGATTGTTGCTTTTCTTGGGTAATTGATGTGGGTAAGACGTGTTTTCAACTTGCAAGCCTCTTTTTAAATGTTTCTTGTCAGACTTGTAAGCCACCTCTTCAGTGCTCATCTCTCCTTGGGTGTCGTGGGTTTTTTCCCTAGGACTGGTGCTAATCACTTGGTTTCCTTGTGGAAGTATTTTACTCTGTTCATAATTAATATTTTTCTACAGTTTACCTCTTGAAGCATTCTCTGATATGCAGAATGTGCTAACTGCTGACCCCAAACACAACTGAGCTGTTGCTGGATTTTGATGGATTGCCCTTAAAACCAAGTTCAAATTACACTGCTCTTACTTTAGAATTAAAACCTCCAGACCTCCAGTGTTCAGGCAGATACAAATTGCGTTCTTGGCTACATTTAAGTAACACTGTTTACTACATGCTCATCTATTCTTTTATCTTAAGCTCTGTGTATCTTGTTGTGCAACTCTCACGAAGCACCCCATGGGTTTTTTTGTAGTGGTCTGGCCAGTTACAGAATAGGCAGAAGAACAGAGAGTCTTTGGTGTCTGGGTCTTTTGTCTTGTCCATCTTAAAAGCATCTCTAACTTAAATAAAAGTGAGAGGCTGATTAAAGCTGAGGTCTCTTTGTAGTCTGTTCTGCTTATTAAAAGCTTTTTTCAAGTTTTCTCACCTGGACCTTCTTGCTATCTTAATGCTGAAGTAACTACTTGTCTTTGAGTTAGTGTCCTCCTCTTCAGTTGTTTCTGGCCAGATGTGAGTTATGCATCTCTCTGGACTCTCAGGTCATAAAATTTATCACTCTTAATGGAAAATGGGCCCACCACCCAACTCCAGAAGTTCCCTGAAATGTAAGTCAGCTTTCACCATGACAAAAATTACTTTCCCTGTGGAGCTTTTTAAATATCCAAGGACGTTTAATGAAATATTTTTCCATAATTCAAGCATGATCAAGCTCTTGTAGCTCTTAAGGTATAGTTGCTATTTTAGGGAACCCTTTTTGTAAGGTTTGCTTTAGGAGGTGGAAGGGAGAGGGAACACTGTTGGAGGAAAAGGAGAGCAAGTGCTGGTAGTACTCCACATGTTGAACTCTGCTTTCAGGTGACCTGTCTTAAATAGTAAATTCCTTTTGGTTAATTTTAGTCTGCTACACTGAATACGTCTGCAGTTTTCTTTTCAGTTCTTTAAGAACTTAGTTGAAGAAAGTAAATTGCTTTTCCCAAGGTAGTAAGAAATAATTTAATGAACCTGTCATGTGGTTTTTTAGCTGTATTCTTACCAAATGGCGATTATCACGATGTGGGGTTTGTTAAGGTGTGTGACGTTTCGTGTCCATTGTCATATGTCTTCTTGGAGTGCAGAAAACTTGAAGTTAAATACTTTCTATTGCAAAAGTTGGACTTCTTTAGAAGGAGTGATTCAGTGAAAATTTTAGTTAGAGTGGTACAGTACCAGGATAATAAACACGTGGAATGCCGTTCACTCCAGTTTCTGGTGCTCTTTGTATTTCAGTTGCAGGTAAGTCCTTTAATTCTCAAATTCTTTTCATTTTTAGTCCTGTTTTCATATTGAAGAGAATGTCTTGGAATATAGTAACTTCTTTTTTTTTCTGAAATCAGTTTTGACATTTGAAGATGCTTTGAATATCTTACAAGAAAAATCCAACGAGTATATGGTTTAGAAAGGATTAAGCAATAACTAAATATGAATAAACTAGAGAACAGTGATTCCTCTATCTTAGATTTTTTTTTTCTTGTCTTTCCTTTATCCACTAATTAAACATTTACAGATGTTTCTAGGCTGCTGTTCTTAAGGCAATCACTGTAATTGCTATCACACTGATAGAATTGTGTAACTTTGGTCCAAAAATAAGAAGGGTGCAATTTAAAAGTAAAAGGGTATTATTGCAATGAGCTGTAAAAACTAAGAATGCTAATTAATAGATTATAGTTAGCTAACAGTGTGACCTAATTAAACTCTGAATTCATTGTGTCTTCTATAGCCTTTTGGAGGTGGTCACTTCAGTCCTTTATATGGAAGATCAGTTTAATAGGATTTTCTTTAATTGAACAGACTTCTTTGTTTAGACTCTGAACAAGAGATTTCCCTGATCTCTTGGGGGACCAGAAAAATCTCATCATTACCCCTCCAGTCTCCCCCTAAAATGAATTCTACTATAATTGCAGGAGCTGGAGTTTTAGACTTCAATTCGAATATTGCACGTGCACTACTTGTGCTTTAAATAAAGTTTATTTTAGGCCAATTGCATTGTTAAAAGTTGACTCAGCTCGTGGAGCCAAGATGCTGGCTGACTCATGCCATTATCTGATAGTCATCTCAATCTCTTTCCTGTGGTCATGGCTCTTTATTCCTCTGCACACACTTGATTGTCACTGATTGTCTTTTGTTTGGTTGGTTTTTTTTATCATGCTTCTTGTCACCTCAGCTTGAATGATTGAAGTGACCCTTGGTTTTGGAAGTTGTTGCACCTGAAAAGCCTTCTGTGAATAAATTCACCAGTGTCTTCGGGTTCTTTTTCCTGTTTCTTGGGAACATGTGCAAATAAGTCACAATTATTGATGTATTGCTTACTGGTTTCCAGGAAATTTTCTGGATTTGATAAAGCTCAGAGAATGAAGAGGGAGATGAAAGAGCATGCTACCTGTGCTGAGACAGTCACATCCTTTTGTTTGGTTGTCCTCTTACAGGGCAGTAAGGTAGCAGGGACATCTTGGATATAACGGTGAGAATGGCATGCACGTGGTTCTCTGTAGCTCTCACCTGGGTGGAGGCTGCTTTAATCTTGCTCAGCTGTGGTCTGTTCAGTGCAGTGTGGGTTAGTTAACCAATCTTACTTCTCAAGAAGCCAAAAGAAGAGTGCAAATGGTTTCTCAGTTATGCAAACCCATGCATATTCAAGGAGAAACTGATGAAACCAGTAAACAGGAGCTTGGTTTTGGCTTGGTATCACTCTCCTCAGCATGCTTTAGTAGCAACTGTGTTTTTCTGAGTTGAAGAATAATTTTTTCTTTTTAGTGTGTGTGGTTTAAAGTTTCCCTGGAAACCTCTTCATCAGAAGCCAGAAGAGGAAAGGAAAGACAGTGAGTATGTTTTGCACTGTCATAGAAATAGTTTGCCTAAAAACTGAATAGTGGTGGATGATGTGAAACTTGAGAACAAAGGAATTCCTCTGAATTCAAACTTGCTGATAACAAGGTGGTTGTCTCTTAAAATAGGTAGTGCAGTGCAAGTTTGATGTCTTAACACCCTGCAATGAAATTTCCCACATTTGACTGATCTACATTTAAGATCTGATTTATGTTTCAACTAAAATAGTGTGGTACTGCTGAAAACGTCTTTTTGCTTTGATGCATTTCTGTGGTCTTTTTGTGGTCAGAGACCTTTGGATGTCTGAGTGAGAGAGTTTAACCAAGAAAATACTCCTGAAAGGAATTTCACCTTGCTTTTGGGGTAAGCACTTGAAGAAGATTCTGCTTTATTGTGATGGAGAAGTGGGAGGGATGTACTCCAGCATTTCCTCAGTGTTCTTCTCCAGAGTCAGAAGTACTCTCCATTTCATAGTAGTGTGTAATGAGCATCTAAGTTTTTAAAATATAGTTGTCCGTGTGTTAGTCTCTGAAATGTTGGGTGCTGCTGTTCTGAGACTGGCTGAGCTTTTAAGGAGTACATTCTTCCTCTGAAAATCAGATCAATGCTCACTTCTCCATTGATTTAATGTTTTTGGTTTTCAATTATGTATCAAAAAAAAAGTTTTGGTATGTCTTAGTACTGTGTCATTCTAATACTGGTGCCATTCCTGAGTTAGTTATTAGTTTATAGAAAGCTAGGCTTTCTTCCATTGTGGATGTGCAATTGTGCTGTACGTGGTTCCTTAGGCATGGCTTAAAGGCATTATCTGTATCCCACAGCATTACACTTAAATAATTCTTTCCCTGGCAGATGTCTGTCAGCTTTCTTGACAGGTTTAAGGTTCCTTCTGTCTTTCCTTAGTTGCAGCATGAAATTATAACTTAATGTTCTCTTAGAATAACTCAAAGCTACTTCCTCAAGAGTGCTTGATATCCAAGGCATTTATCAAGTTGTCGCACTTTGCAGCGACTTCAGAAATTGTCATCTAATCACCCAAGAGATGGGCCTTCTGTGTTCTGTTGTTTTTCTTTTTTCCAATTCTTTAAGGAAATAAAATAAAGACCTTTTATGCTTATCTGTGTTCCCCAATGCTCCTTTAGTCCCATGTTTCCTGTTGAGGTAGAATCTAACGCCTTGGGTTGCTTTGAGCTGTGGCATAGGCTGAACAGCTGGTCTCTACTTGATCCATTAAACATGTAAGGGGAATACTACTAAGTTAAAAGCAGCTTGTAGTAAAACAGGTGACGTCAGTGGTGTGGCTGAACTTAGTATTTAACTGAGCTTTTTTTGCAGTTGAGCTGGGGGAGAGTTTACTTGAAATTCTGCAGAACTTCGAGCAGGCTCTTTCTGCTATAATTCTTTCTCCACTATGTATTGGGACTGTTCAGACATCATACCCCTAGCTAGGTTTGCAGTGTGTTATTTTGCCAGTTAGTATGTATATTTGTAAAAAGTCACGTGTAATTGTATTTCTCTAGAAGCCATTGTCCCTTTCAGCATGATTGTAATTCTGGTATTTGAGTTCACTACTTTTTTCCCCTAAGGGTTCTTACTTTCTAAAGTGTGGACTAGGTGGCTATAAACTGCTTAAGGCTTCGTTTTAGTTACTTAGTGAACAGTTATCAATGATAGATGATGGCAATAGCACAGAGGTGCTCCTACATTATAGTTATTTTAAGTGGTCTTGTACTGATATTATAGCTTTCTAATGCCAAATCCAATATTCTCTTGTGTCTTCCTTACCCTATGTGGCCCTG